ACTCCTGGGCTCAAGCAATCCTACTGCCTCAGCCTCCCAAGTAGCTGGGACTACAGGCATGCGCCACCATGCCAGGCTAATTTTTTTTCTATATATAGATTTTTAGTTGTCCAAATAATTTCTTTCTATTTTTAGTAGTGACGGGGTCTTGCTCTTGCTCAGGCTGGGCAAATGTATATTTTTGATACACTGTTATTGTCATGAGCAAGTAAAAAAATAAATAAGAAAGAAAAAGTGGCCTCAGTACAAACATCAAATTTCTGAGTTCTTTTGCTCACAAACTAAATTATTAATACCTTACGTAGATCATGTTAATTCCTTGGATCTGATTTACTCTCTGTTAAGTTCCCTCATTGGTAAGATAAAAATACATAAAAATATTTGAATTTCTCATAAGATATATTAGAATTAGAAGAAAACTTTTTTTTTTTAAGAGACAGGGTACTGCTCTGTTTCCCAGGCTGGATTACAGAGGCACGATCAAAGCTCACTGCAACCTCAAACTCCTGGGCTCAAGCAATCCTCCCACCTCAACCTCCTGAGTAGCTGGGACTATCGGCATGCACCATTTGTCCAGCCAATTTTTTAAAATTACTTTTTGTAGAGACGAGGTCTCACTATGTTGTCCAGGATGGTTTTGAACTCCTGGCCTCAAGTGATCTTCCAGCTCGTCCTCCCAAAGTGCTGGGATCACAGACATGAGCCGCTGTGCCTGGCCAAGAAAACTATTTTTAAAATAGCAGTTTTAATATTGTATATACCAACTCTTTAAAATTAATACTAATTTTTTCCCCCAATTTTGCAGAGACAGCTTATTCAGCTTCTGTTAGCATTTTAAAGTGATAACATAGATGCCTTAGAGAAAGAACAAGGTGACATTTTAGTAGCATTTTACTTAAATTATGTGCTTGCATAGATTGTATTACAAATCTTTGCACTTCATCTTACACCAAAAGTTCTTACTAAATATCGTGAATGAATTTGTCTTAGCCAGTTTTAAGGAAATAAACAGTTTGGATTTTTACTTGTTAGGTTTGAAATTAAGCATTCTAAATTTTATTTTTAATTATTGTAACTTCATAAGGGGCCTGTTCATTTCCCTTAATTTGTTAGGGTTCTTTATTGTCTTGAATCTGTAGGGTAGAGGCTTACGGATTGATGAGTTACTAAAGAAAAGAATCTACCTACTAAATTCCCATAAACCCCCAAGGGGGCCTCCAGTTTAAATTGAAGCTTAATGAAGGAGATAATAAAAAGGAGAAGGCAACAGAAATTACAGAAACTAAGTAAAGAATATAAGAATACTAGATAAGAATATTTACAGGTAATATAACTGACCATTTTAAACTCCATCTATATCCTATCAAGATATAATATTAATTGATTCAAAGGGGTATGGAAGAAGGAATTAAGACATATCTTTAGACTCCAAAGGGACATTAAATTGGTAAGTGTAAATCATTTGTCCAAATATAATATTAATTTAAACTTCAAAATAATATTTTGTCTCCATGTCATACTAATTATCATATGTAGTGTTTTTTTTTTTTTAATTTACTTATGATTGGTTGGTTTTATCTTTTCACATACAAAGTACTTCAGGGTGTCAATATACATTATAGATAAGAATATGGGTTTTTGAGACCTGTGTTTGAATACTGACCCAACATTTATTAGCTGACTTTAGGCAAATTACATAAATTTCTTTCATTTCAAAAATAGAAATAATATTATCTAAGAATTGTGTAGTGAGAACTAAAATAAGTTATACACTTAAAGTCCTTAGCACAATACTTGGCATATAAGAATAACTCACATTTATTATGTGCCTGGCATTATGCTAAGGCACTTGAATTGTCTCACTTTATCTTTATAAAACCCTATGAGGGAAATATTGTTATCCCCATTTTACAGATCAGAAAACTGAGGCTCTAAGAGATTTACTAATTTGCTCAAATTCACATAGCTCGTAAGTCTGACTCCGAAGAGTGTACTCTTAACTAGGCTATGCTGCCTATCCAACATACGAAATACACAGTAAATGGTAGTTATTCAGTGTAATATTCCAGTTATTGGACTCAAACCATTTAAAATTTACATTACCACATGTTTATATAGTATATCAATATCCGTATCGGTTGTGGTGGTCCTTTTTAATATCATAAAGATTGTTCAAGGTGATTCAAAAAGTACGTATTTTAAAGAAGTAAACTGTAGAACACAGAATAAAAACAAGAAATAGTTTCATATTAAATAGTGTTTTAAGTATTTAACAATCTATTTTTCATTTATAGGTTGGAGGTGCATTTGCCCCCCCTTTGAAAGATTTATGTAGATTTCTAAAAGAAAATTCAGAATATGGAGTAGCTCCTGAATGGGGAGATGTTGTTAAGCAATCTGTGAGTATTTCACAAATACTAACTAATACATCATTTAAAAAATTAGATGCCATTCAATTATATCTTAGATTGAGTTTTACATTAAGAATTAATAAAATATTCCATGAACCAGAAAATCATGGGAGAATTACATGAAAGTAGCATAGTTTGTTCTTCCTTTTCCTAGACTCTGTGGTCTCCCAGTCTGCAGGTGCTCTTTCCCCCTTTTAAGTATCTTTTTCAGCTTGGCTCTGTCTCCCTTATTCCCAAAGTGAGAGTCGAAAAATCCATATGAAGCATGTCATTTTAACCTTCACCTTTCACTTCCCCTATCCTTTTTTTATTGTTCTTCCCAATGAAAAGGGGGCCACGTCTTTGGTCGTCTAGAACAAGTGGTGAGATAAAACATGTAAGGGTTATGGAACCCCCATTAAAAAATTTGTTTGGACCTTATGCTTTCTAGAACTATTGTACAAACTTATGTTTGACGATATGGAGGAAGGCTAATGGCCTCTTTCTACTCTCTTATCCTACGATAAAATGGAAAGTGAAAGAGCTATATCAATAGAGTCAATTTACAAATAATTACCTCTATTTAATAGGGTATTTATATGATGAGCTAATAGCTATTGATTTTATTTTACGTAGCTATTATTAATGAATATATATTACTTCCAGGGATTTCTTCCAGAAAGTATGTATGAACGTATACTCACTGGTCCCGTTGTGAGAGAGGAAGTAAGCAGGCGGGGGAGACGGCCTAAAAGTGGAATCGCGAAGGCCACAGTAGCAGCAGCTGCATCTGCCACCAGTGTTTCAGGCAATCCTTTGTTAGCCAATGGATTACTTCCAGGTGTGGATCTCACAACTCTTCAGGCCTTACAACAAAACCTACAAAACTTGCAGTCACTACAAGTAACTGCAGGGCTGATGGGAATGCCCGCTGGCCTTTCCTCTGGAGGAGAAGCTAAAAACGTGGCTGCTATGTTCCCCATGCTACTGTCAGGAATGGCTGGATTACCAAATCTGTTGGGCATGGGAGGACTCCTGACAAAGCCTGCAGAATCTGGGACAGAAGAGAAAAAGGGAAATGACTCTAAGGAGCTAGAAGGAAAAAAAGAAAGGACAGAGAGCCAAAGTTCAGAGCATGGTGGAGAAAACTCTGTGTCAAGTGCTCCTTCGACATCCTCCACCGCTGCATTGAATACAGCTGCAGCTGCCAACCCGTTAGCTCTTAACCCACTGTTACTATCTAACATACTTTACCCAGGGATGCTTCTCACTCCAGGCCTTAATCTTCATATTCCAACTTTGTCCCAGTCCAATACTTTTGATGTACAGAAAAACAAAAACAGTGACTTAGGCTCATCTAAGTCTGTAGAAGTAAAGGAAGAAGATTCCAGAGTTAAAGATCAGGAAGACAAAGGGGGTACTGAACCAAGTCCTCTCAATGAAAACAGCACAGATGAGGGTTCAGAGAAGGCTGATGCTTCATCGGTCTCTGATAGTACATCATCATCATCCGAGGATTCAGATTCTAGTAATGAAGACTGATTCCCAGACTCTGCACTTAAATTATGAACTGATTTTGGATTTTTTTCTTTAATTATTAATTGTAAATACCCCAGTGTTGAGTGCATAAATAACTTACTGACCGAACATTTCAGTTATTTGTTTAGAAGTGCAAACTGCTTTCAGAGACGTTTTGCATGTAATATTTCTTAAGATTCATAAGTTTCTGAACTCGTATGTACTATCAAATACATAAAGGTGTAAAATTACAACAAAAGGCATTATAATTTTGTTGGGGGTTAATTTTATGAAAATTATGCTCAATAAGAGTTGTATATTTAATATATTTGCAGTGAACACAGAATACTTTATGCATATTACTGATTTAATTTGAATATAGTTTTACAGCCTCCTTGACACCTATAATTTACAGATCAAAACTCAGCAATAATTTGGGCAGCTAATGAATGTCATGAAAGCTGTAGAATCTACATCACCATCCATCGCTTTAATTACATGAAAATGCTCTAGTGTTGTGATGCACTGCTGATGTTTCCAATTCAGGTACAAGTATGTTTTAAAGAAGAAATAAGTTTCCCAATCAGCCAATTTAACTGGCTACCTGTTACCTCAGCTGAGTTAGTTTAGGAAGTTTACATTCGTTTCTAATTCTATACTTGTTTTCAGGGGTTTTTTAAACACATCCTATATATCATGTTAATCTGGCAAGAAATATGACTTGCTTTTTGCTGAGCTTAACTCGGATATCAGTAAAATTAAGTCATAAAATAATCCTGTGTCAAGTGACTTTGGCACCCTATAGACATACTTAGTTTTAACTTTTCAAAGTTTGGCCTCCTATTAGAAATAATTATGTCTCAGATGAGTAATGTCTGTTTCCAGGGTTCAGAAAAGGCAAACTCATGAAATGCCACTGAAAAGAACTTTCAACACAGCATACTTCATGTAAAAGAAATTGTTTGTTTGCTTTACTTGTGTAGATTTCTATTTGTGTTTTATGTCACGGGAAATATTCCAAAATTAACAAATAGTGGTAAAGTAATATGCAGATCGTCTAAATTCATTTTGAGTTTCTAGGTATAAGCAGACTAAATGTTGCCCAGAATCAGTGTTGGGTTCTCAGTTTATATTAAATATACTGAGTTGCCCATTTTGAAATGCACTTTGAATAATCTCAAAAAGCTGTACAAGTTATACCTGTAAACCACAAAAATGAAGCCCAAGGCTTCCGTTCAATTTCTTAAAACCCTTTACCATGTAAAATTTGTCCGATAATTGATTTGTAATACAATTTCTCCTGCTAAAGCTGCTATTATTCTGACACGGTAGAGGTCCAGGTTCACCTTCATACACATTTAAAACAATTAGAACTGAATTAGACATAAAAATATTTACATTCTATGGAGAGATAAATGTTAGCATTTTTCTGGTACTCAAATAAGTCAGTGGCAACTTTTGCAAGGGGATAAATTTAGGGGGGAAAGGCACCCCGATTCTCTCCTACAGAAAAAAATAACTTTCAGTATGTTTTGACAGAACTGTTGCTTTGTCACGAATTAAGCAATTGTATTAGTTTTCCAAGACCTTTACCAGTAAATTATGTTTCTGTATGTAAAATAACTAACCCCTTATTAGAGAGACAGTGTTATATGTATTTACAAAATTATATAAGTTCCATTGGGATTGTATTGATTTTGTATTTTCCCAAAATAGTACTTTGAATTGATAGTCCTTTATGCAATGTCTTAGCAATAGTCACTATAATGCCCATCCAGGAGAAGTGGGTAGTAATTCTTCATCATGGAAATGATATATTACATATTTAGTATCTTCCCTTTGCAGTATTGCACTTTTGTTTAACTAGAATACACCTATGAGATAGCCAAAGTTTTTCAAACACAGTTAACTTAGTTTGCCAGTGGAGTATTTCAATACCATCCATATTTCTCTTCTTCCCTTTAGTTCTACCCACATGATCTTTATTCCTTTCTTTCCCCAATTAAAAAAAAAAAAAAAGGAAAAAAATCTCTATATCTTGTCACTAAAATCTAATTTATATCAAATTTATGAGATAAACTATTTTCCTAATTATGGTCAAATGAATTTGGTTAACCTCCTAGTAATTCTCTTTCTATGTAATAAGGCAATTACAGTTCTCAAAGCATTAAGGCTAATATTAACTTTAAACATTCTCTTAGGTTTCAAGACACTTCTATTTAGTATTGATTGGGGAAAAATCCAGTTATCAGCTAAGGAAAAAACATGCAGATATGGTTGTGTAAAGTTAAGGGTTATAAGGAAAAAAAATCAGTAGAATTACATAATACTAAAGTTGCAGTTGAAAGGATATTCAAGTATGTGTTGGTAGTTACTAAAAGAATTATAGCTGATATTGCCTTGTATTTATAGCCCTTGTTTCAGGTTTCATGATTCAAGTCTTAGTCCAATTTTTCTTTTGGACATTTGCAATATTTACCAGTTGTGTTTTGTGTAGTCTGAATTTGCTTTCTGTAGTTGAGCAAACGTCTTAAAAAGTCATTTGTAATTTATTAAATTACTTTCTATGATGTTCTATAGAGCAAATGGAAGTTTAATTATTTTTTATTAAACATATTCTTTGACTACCCATGATGTCAGCCTCTGTACGTGACAATACTCTTTAAATTGAATTTGATGTATAATTTATCTTCAGTTATGACAGAAACCATAGTCATAAATCTTTAAAAGGAAAGTATACTTTGGAAGAATTTTTAAAAGACAGACATTGACTATAATTATATCCACAATATCTTTTTTTATTTTTTTGAGACAGAGTCTCACTCTGTCACCTGAGCTAGAGTGCAGTGGCATCATCATAGCTCACTGCAACCTCAAACTCCTAGGCTCAAGCCATTCTCCTGCTTCAGACTCCCAAATAGCTGGGACTACGGGCATGTGCCACTACACCCGGCTAATTTTTCTATTTTTTGTAGAGACAAGATCTTGCTCTTGCTCAGGCTAGTCTCCAACTCCTGGCCTCAAGCAAGCCTCCTGCCTGGGCCTCCCAGAGTGCTAGGATAACAGGCATGAGCCACCGCACCCAGCCCATAATATCATCTTAAATGTCGCCAATTTTTTGTTTTGATTTAATTTCATTGTCGACCCATTGATATTGATGGTTGCAAAATATAGAGAATGCTTCTTGTTGGAATTCAAATTATTAAAGCCCAATCTCTACCCCATGCCAAACAGTAAATATTACTTTATTAAGTTTTCTTCTGGACCTTTGAAAAATCCAGAAAGACTCAGAGACACATCTAACCTCTAAGAAGTGTATTTTGGAAATCAATAATTATTTTTCCCTTGGTGTTAAGAATTTTTCCTAACTCATTGCCATTATTGGTAGTGATTTTTGTAAACATTAAAGAAAATAGTTTATAACCTCTAATTACAAAAATAAAGTAGTGGAGTCTCATCATATACCCATTTAACTTGAACACATTCAACTATACTTTCATGTTTAGAAAATCTTTTTTTTCTGTTTTGTACAACATAGCGTATAAACACAAGCCAACTACTTCATCTAGTACTCACCCAGAAGAACAGGAACAGTAATCTGTTCCAGTGCTGGAAGAAGAATTTGCCTGTGTTAGATGTTTTTGAGAGAAGGTATACTATGTATAAAGATGTATTCTGTATTTTGTGAGCTTATAAGGAAAAGGTGATTCTTGAGTACACATAATCACCCTGTACAGTGAATTTAGAATTTAATCTCTATATAAATGCAATTTGAGTACATAAGCTATTCATTTTAAAATGCAGAAAAGCACATACTTAAATTACCCATAAACCCACCCAGAGGTAAACACCGTTGTTATATATACATCCAGTCTTTTGTATGTCTGTGTTACATACATGTAGTGGGTTAAATAATATCTTCCAAAAACTCATGTCAACCCAAAACCTCAGAATGTGACTTTATTTGGGAAAGAGAGTCTTGGCAGATGTAAGTAGTTAAGCTGTGGTCATACTGGATTAGGGTGGGCCCTAGCTCCAATGACTAGTTATAAGAAGAGGAGAAGATACACAAACACTGGCAAGAAGGCCATGGGACAAAGGAGGCAGAGATTGGAGCGATAGAGCTGCAAGTCAGGAACACCGAGGATCGCCAGCCACCACCAGAAGCTAGGAGAGAGGCAGGAAACATTCCTCTCCCGTAGCCTCCAGAATGAACCCACCCTGCCAACAGCTTGACTTTGGATTTTTGGCCTGAAATGTGGGGTAATAAATTTCTGTTGTTTTAAGTCACTCAGTTTGTGGTCATTTGTTATGGCAGCCCCAGGAAACTAATGCAGTATGTTCTTATATTAAATCAGTATTATTATGATACATAATATTTAGTGTATTGCCCTTAATATTCTGATCTTTGTCCTTTGTCAAATAAGAATCCCGCGGTGTGATTTTTAATACATAGTATTAGCTCATACAGATGTAATTTATTTGTGTACTTAAAAATGGGTATTTGGGTTTATATGTCCATTTTGGCATCCATCTCCAATAATTTGCTTAATTCCTGAACTGAAAATACTTCTGTTTTTAAGGATTTTGGTTTGTTTTGCCAAGTTTATAATGAAGCTATTAGTAGCAATTTGTACTACCATCAGCAGCATACATGTTTGCACGCCCATTTACCCCCAAATCCTTACCAATACTGTGTATTGTCTTTTAAAATAATCTTTGCCAAATTAATAGGCATAAGCAATATTTTGATTTTTTTTTTTTTTTTTTTGAGACAGAGTCTCACTCTGTTGCCCTGGCTAGAGTGAGTGCCATGGCATTAGCCTAGCTCACAGCAACCTCAAACTCCTGGGCTCAAGTGATCCTCCTGCCTCAGCCTCCCGAGTAGCTGGGACTATAGGCATGCGCCACCATGCCCGGCTAATTTTTTCTATATATTTTTAGTTATCCAGATGATTTCTTTCTATTTTTTTAGTAGAGATGGGGTCTCCCTCTTGCTCAGGCTGGTCTCGAACTCCTGAGCTCAAACAATCTGCCCGCCTCGGCCTCCCAGAGTGCTAGGATTACAGGCGTGAGCCACCGCGCCTGGCCAATATTTTGATTTTTAAAATAACTTTTTTTCTTAGGAAAAAAAGACATAGAAAATCCAAGGGGGGAGGGAAGCACAAAGGAAACAAAAACCCCCATAATGCTAACAGAGATAATTGTTAACCTTTGGGTAATTTTTCTTTGCATATGCATATTATATATTAAT